TATTACATAATAGGAGCTATAGGGTTAGATAATATATTCTTCTACTAGTATACATGTTATTTTTTGCAAGTGCATTAATGATTTCAACTATAATTAGAAACTTTTGGGAATAAGGATTAGTACTCAGTGTTTCTATCTCAAAAACCACCGAATTAATTGCATAAGACCGCACCAACCCCCTCTATTCCCAATTCACATACAATCCTAAGACAACTCATTTTCAGTATGTGTTTGAGAATTCTCGCTGATCTTTCTCACCATTTTGTTTCTCTCCACCTTACTTAGTATAAATCATTCTCATTTTTATTAATATTTTTTTTATGGTTGATATATCTATAATTCTTTATATGTTATATATTTATTATTCATATATCTATAGTTATTTATCTGCTATATGTCTATTCTATATCTATATGTAGTTTTTTTATATGTGATATATCTACATTTCAAATATTTATTTCTACTGAAATAAAAAAAAATAAAAGTATAATAGTGCTTGTGGTAATGTGAGATTGTAATTATTTCTCTAAAAACTCAATTTTAAAGAGGAAAAAAGTGCATGTACCACTAGCAAATGCGTTGCATAATATGGACTATTGGATAAGGTAATATACCCTTTTACTAGTGTACGTGTTTAATTTTTTAAGTACATTTATACTTTCAGCTATAATCCTTACTCCCAAAAATTTATAATTATAATTGAATGTATTTGCAAAAACAAACATGTATACTAGTAAAGGGGTATACTGCCTAACGCAACAACCTCTATTATGTAGCGCCTTTGCCAATGGTACATTCCTTTTTTTCATTATCTAAAAATGAGTATACAGAGAAATAATTACAATCTCACCTTATCACAAGCATTACGATACTTTTATTTTCTTGAGTTAAGTAGCAACAAATTTTTGTAACGTAGATATATTATAGATAAAAAATTACAAATATATAAAAAAATATATATATATATATATACATAACAGATAAATGATTATAGATGTATGAATAATAAATATGTAACATATAAAGATTTATAGATATATTAACCATGAAAGAAAAAAATAAACAAAAAAGAAAATGATTTATATTAAGTAGGGTGGAGAGAAATAAATTAACAAGAAGGATCAATGAGATTTCTTAAACACATATTGAAAATGAGTTTGTCTTTGGGTTATGTATGAATTTAGAAGATTGGGGGTTTGTGAGGTCTTATGCAATGAATTGGGTGGTTTTTTGCGATAGAAATAATGAGTAGTAATTCTTATTCCCCAAAAAATTTAATTATACCTTAAATCATAAATAAATTTGAAAAAACAAATAAATATACTAGTAAGGGGGTATACTATCTAACCCAATTGCTCCTATTATGTAACGTCTTTGCTACTGGTAAGGTGAGGTTGTAATTATTTCTATAAAAACTCATTTTTAGAGAGTAAAAAGAGAGCATGTATTACAGGCAAAGGTGTTACATAATATGAAATGTTTGATTAGGCAATATACCCATTTACTTGTGTAGTGTTTGTTTTTGCAAGTGCATTTATGATTT